GAGGGGGGGGGGGGGCGGACTAAATTTTCCGGGGGCGGGGAGGAACGCTGGTCACTGGTAAAAGTATATATTTTATATAAGTTCTATTTTGTCCGCTGGGAGGGGGCGTGGTAAACTTTCTTCGTGGGGAGGGGATACCTGGAAGAAACTTAGATATGTTGTATACGTACAAATAAATCAATAGCCAGTATGACGTTATTTTTTTTTTATGTTGTTAGTGTTTTGAAAGATTAAAGACTATTTATAGCTTAACACCTGATGAACTCTATTTCATCTGTGTTTTGATTTTTTTGAACACGCTAATTCATCGCTCGCTAACCCAAAAATCTCGGATCCTGTGCTCGATGTTGTAGATTCAAGTCAGTAGAATGTCCCTGAGTCCACTGATTGGTCCTTTACTTAAGGAAACTAAGGCGGCTGGGAATTCAGTTGATGACACTATCCCCCAGTAAGTGAAACAGATGAACTCTACTTCATCTGCCCCATGTGTCTTAGACACTAACGAGAAAATATGTTAAATTACACTGCTTACGTAAAGAAAGAGCGTCACAAAAAATGGTAAAAAAAAAGAATCGTTTCTGACGTGGATTGTAATGACTGACGAGGAGCCGCGTTGGTTGTTAACAGTCTTTATTATGTACAGACGCCATCATGCAAAGAGAGAGAGAGGAGTGGCCAGAGACAACTATATATAGATAACAACATGTAAGGGACATCACTCAAGATAACAATATAAATATAATACTAATACAGAGAGTGAGTTCCCTTGACCTCACAATTAACTCAATCTATTACATCCCTTTACCCTTAGAACACAATAACACATCTCTCAATAGAACAATTGATAGTATCCTAAAATCACCAATTATATTGTAACATGAACACTATGGTAGATTACATCCTTACAAACAATGCACAATATGCCACAACATAATCAAAATACAAAACAATAATGTCAAAGTCCTTTTGACCTTTAGAATCATAGGTCTAACTTATTTGGGACTTTGATTGTCCTGCTTGACCTTCTCAGTGGCTTCTGATTTGGTGACTCAAGATTCTGACCATCTGGATTCTCTATCTCAGGAGGTCTAGGATTTAAATCATTAACTCCAGAATTTACATTTTCTGACTCTAGACAACTTGATTCACTCATATCAACAGAACTTGGTTGTGGAACAAACTGAGTTGGTGTGAACTGTTCAGATTTGGTGGGATTGACAGATTCACACTTATTATCTGCACAAGTTATTTTTAACTTTATAAGACACAGGTCCTGTACATTGAACAATTTGACCTGGTATCCATTTTTCCTTTCTCCCATAGTTTCTTAGATACACATTCTCATTAACACCAAATTCTCTTTCAATGAATGTTTTGTCATGATTTAATGGAACTATTTTTGAATTGGCATCTGAAAGTATTATGCTATTATTCAGATCCTTAACTGGCATAGATTTCTTTGATTGATCAATTTTCTCAGGTAATCTGATAGTGCTTTCCTGGTAACCAAAAATACTGTTTAAAGTAATATTCTGGACCATATCACTTGGCAACTGTGATCCAGTATTTGAAGTGGGTGTATTAAATGGCAAAAATCTTTTTTTCTTTCTTTTGATGTTACCCTTTTAGTTTCTTTAAGTGCTAATGATGTTAGCAAAGTTGTTTGATGATCACATTCCTTCTTACTAATGTATTCTCTTTAAAACATTTGAGATTGCCATATCACCATAATCATTTATTAAGTTACAAATACTTTGTTTAGGCAACTCTGACTGATAATGGACTGCATCTTCTCCATCTTTTATATTATCTTCACAAAGGTTTTAATTTCTTATTTTATATGGCCTTAAGTCATCATTCACAGACTTTTCAGGCCAACCATTCTTACAGTACTCATATACTTTTATTAAGCACTCATCTTTTTGTGTTTCTCTTTTAATATCATTCACATTTATATTGGAGTTATCCATGATAGTGAAGAGAACAAATACATCTTCTGGTACATAGCTCAGGCTTTGGTTTTTTAAAGGTAATCTACTCAGACTATCTGCACTATTCTCAGATCCAGGTTTGTATTTCAATTCATAATTGTATGCAGTTAGTGTGATAGCCCATCTTTGAATTCTTGGTGAGGCATGCTCAGGTAGGGTTTTGTTTTCTCCAAATAAACCTAGCAATGGTTTATGATCTGTAAAGATGGTGAACTTCCTACCAAACAGAAACTTATGAAATTTCTTAACACCAAAAATGATGCCTAAGCCTTCCCTATCTAACTGAGAATAATTTTTCTCAGCCTGGTTCAAAGATCTACTGGCAAAAGCAATGGGTCTGTCACCCTTCTCATCCATGTGGGACAAGACTGCTCCTACACCATCTGGTGAAGCATCACATGTCAATACAAGTCTTTTCCCTGGGTCATAGTGAGTTAGTAAGGTGTCAGCAGACAAAGCCTCTTTTGCTGTATTAAAAGCAGCTTCTTGTTGTTTACCCCAGTGCCAAGTTGCATTTTTCTGTGGCAGCTTGTACAGTGGTGATAGTTTACCAGACAGATTCCCTATGAACTTTGCATAGTAATTTATCAAGCCCAAAAAAGCTCTTAGTTGTTGGGTATTTTCAGGTTTGGGTGCTTCTTTAATGGCTTTTGTTTTCTCAGGTTGAGGTCTGATACCTTGCTTGCTTAATATATAACCAAGAAAACTAATTTCTGTCAGCATGAATTGACATTTATCTTTGTTTATCTTTAAACCTTTTTCACCAACAATTTTCAATACTTTATCAAGTGTTTTAAGATGTTCAGTGTCATTCTTACCAGTTATGTACACATTGTCAAAGTAAACACAAACATTTGGAATATCCTTAAAAATACTGTCCATGACAGCTTGGAAAATTCCAGGGCTAGATGATATGCCAAAACATAGTCTTTCATATTGGTAGAGTCCTTTATGTGTGTTTATTGTCGTATAGACTTTTGAATCTGGATGCAGTTCTAGTTGAGTGTAAGCATGACTAAAGTCTAATTCAGTGAATTTGTCTCCTCCTGCCAAATTCAAAGAAATTTCCTCAATGTTAGGTATAGGGTACCTATTTAGCTCTATTTGCTTATTCAGTGTAGTTTTGTAGTCTCCACAAATTCTTATAGAACCATCCTTCTTTAACACTGGCACAATGGGCGTCGCCCAATCGGAATAGTCTACCTTCTTTATAATGCCATTAGATTCTAATCTGCTTAGCTCATTTTCAATTTTATTCCTCATTGCATAAGGTGGAACTCTAGCTTTGCAGTATCTTGGATTTGTGTCTTTAATGCTTATCTTCACTGTTCTATCATTTAGTAATCCTGAATTACCAAAAACACATTTATTTTCAGATATAACTTTATCTAGTGAAGTAAGACTAGATTCTTTTACATTCTTCAATGAACAAATACTCTCCCAATTTAACTTAAGATCACTTAACCAGTTCCTACCTAGTAATGGCGGTCCATTTCCTTCAACCACAAGAAGAGGAAGTTTAACACTTTGACCATTATAACTTACATGAACCATACACTCTCCTATTACCGGAACATTGTCACCAGTGTATGTTGTTAGACACTTGTGACACGGCTGTAGAGGCACTGATCCTCCTTTGACAGCGTCAAAATCTTTCTTTGTTATGACTGTTAGAGATGCTCCAGTGTCAAGTTGGAAGCTGATGCTCTTACCGTTGATATTAACTTGTACATTGATGGGAGCATGACTTATTGATTTAACAGAGAACAGGTTGAAATCCGGCTGCAAATCAATTTGAGCATTTTCACAGGTAGAGTGGTTCATTGGTTGAGTTAGGTAGTCTTGGTGAGAGTTAACATAGTGCTGCCTTTGGTTGCGGTACTGTCTTGACTGGCTAGATTTAGCAACAGACGAAGACTTTGCAAAGCAGGCCTTGGCAATGTGACCTTGCTTACTGCACTTATAACAAGTTGCTAACTTGAACTTGCACCGATGAGATGCATGGGGACCTTTGCATCGATGACATATTTGATAATTATTACTAGATTTAGATCTAGGATTTGAACGAGCAGGGTGTTTAGCATAAGTTGGAATGCTCTGTTGGGGTTGATGTTTATTGACTAACCTGCTGTTTACTGCATGGATCCCTGAAGGCGTCAGAGATTTCGCCGCATCTGATGACTGCTGGAATGAAGTTGCAAGTTGTATTGCTTTTTCCAATGTTAGATCTGACTCGAGCAGCAACTTTCTTTGAATATCAGGGCTGTTTACACCTGTCACAAACTTTTCACATAGTCTGTCAGACAGCGTGTCTCCGAATTCACAAAATTCACTTAAATGACGTAAAGCAGCAACATATTCTGATATTGACTCGTTTGGTTGACGAGTCCTACTGTCAAATCTAGCTCGACATAGAAACTTTGATGGGGTAGGCGCATGGTGGTCTGTTAGCAATTTGCTCAGCTCGTTAAAGCTCTTGGTATCTGGACTAGCTGGTGCGCATAAGTCCTTTAGTAGCCTAAATTGTTGAGGCCCTATGACTGTTAACAAAATAGCTCTCTTTTTGGCTTCTATCCTCACGTTGTTAGCTTCTAGGTAAAAGCTTAACCTCTCTAGGTAATCTTGAATGATTTCATCATTCGCATCAAATTCTTTTATTTGGCCATACAGCGCCATAATTCTAGAAATAATTAGCTAATAAGCTCTAGCAAACCTCTTTTTTGCGTAAGTAGGTGCTCTTTCTAGTAGATGTTTATCCTTCGTCGCCAAATGACGTAGATTGTAATGACTGACGAGGAGCCGCGTTGGTTGTTAACAGTCTTTATTATGTACAGACGCCATCATGCAAAGAGAGAGAGAGGAGTGGCCAGAGACAACTATATATAGATAACAACATGTAAGGGACATCACTCAAGATAACAATATAAATATAATACTAATACAGAGAGTGAGTTCCCTTGACCTCACAATTAACTCAATCTATTACAGTTTCAAAAGAAAACAAAGCTATTTTTTAAAAGCAACAATAATAAAACTTTAATGAACAGTTTACACGATACAGAAATCCAATAAGAAACACAGTCTCTTCTGAACAGTTTAAAACACAAGCACTAGAACACAGTGGCAATCAGTTCCTATCCTAAAAAAAACTGATGTTGACTGACATGAGTGTAGACAATTATTATAGAAACATGCCGTCCCGGCCAGGCTTTGCACTGGCTTTTGTAAAAAAATATCTGTAAAGGACCGTGATTTGTATTTTATCAGCATGATATTCCTGGCGCTGCCCGGGTCTTGGGAATATATTTAATTCCCAATGAATGTATACATGCAAAAATAGTAAATATATTTAGCCCTAAAGCTAACTCCAAAACTAATACAAACGACAACAAACCATAACCACTGTATTAGGCAAACTGCGAGTTTACAAAAGCGTTTTTTAAAAATAGTTATAGATCTACCTGATTATAATAGTCTTGAAAAGTCGATGTAATCATACTATTTGTTTTTGAAAAATCTTTAAAAATATGGCAAGCGATAAAATTATAACTACATTTAAAAAAAACTTAAAGTTGTTTGGGAACCATCGACTACACTCATTTTTATATTTTTGTATTGAATATAAGCCGCTGAAAAGTTATTTAGAATTATTCTATCAATTCAAGTATTAAATAAACCGGGAGTGATCTCCCCTAAACTTTCTCGAATATTCTTATATAAAATAACAGGGGATGGGAACTCGGGCTATAGACATGATTTTTAATCCATTTTAAATACTTAAAGTTTTAAAAATAGAATAAAATCTCGTAGACAAATTAATTGCACACCAAGTCAACACGAAATAAATAAACCGGGAGTGATATCCCCTAAACTTTCTCGAATATTCTAATATAACACTACGTGGGATGGCAACTCGGAATATAGACATGATTTTTGTTTACTTAAACTTTTAAAAATAGAATAAAATCTAGTAGAAAAAAACATTGCGCACCAAGTGAACGCCAAAGCAAAAAGCGCATAATAGTGCGCAATATTATTAGTTCTTTATAAATTTATATGCGTTTTTCGAGAAATCGGAAATAGCGTAAATTAGTACTTCCGGTCAACGGAAATTACTCAAAAATTGATAGAAGGTAGAGAATTAGATCTTTTACTTACATGTGAAATTTCATTGATCTATCTGAAATAGTACTCAAGTTATAGGCTTTTGAAAAATTCAAAGTAGAAAAAGTACCACTTCCGGTTGTCGGAAATCGCTCAAAAGTTGATACGGATCTACGATTTTGATATAATACTTATATATGAAATTTCATCAACCTAGCTGTAACGGTACTCAAGTTATCGTGTTTACACACAGACAGACACACAGACACACAGACACACACACACAGACATACGGACAAGATTGCAAAATTATGTTTTTCCGTATCAGTGAGGTGTAAAACGTCGAGATTTGTAAAAATCTCGATTTTTTTTTTTGCACGATTACAATACTTTCTCTATACTACGTATATACGAGAAAGTAAAAAGCGCATAATAGTGCGCAATATTATTAGTACTTTTAAAATTTACATTAGTTTTTTGAGAAATCGGAAGTAGCGTAAATTACTACTTCCGATCAACGGAAATTACTCAAAAGTTAACAGAAGGTAGAGAATTAGATCTTTTACTTACATGTGAAATTTCATTTATCTATCTGAAATAGTACTCAAGTTATAGGCTTTTGAAAAATTCAAAGTAGAAAAAGTACCACTTCCGGTTGTCGGAAATCGCTCAAAAGTTGATACGGATCTACGATTTTGATATAATACTTATATATGAAATTTCATCAACCTAGCTGTAACGGTACTCAAGTTATCGTGTTTACACACAGACAGACACACAGACACACAGACACACACACAGACATACGGACAAGATTGCAAAATTATGTTTTTCCGTATCAGTGAGGTGTAAAACGTCGAGATTTGTAAAAATCTCGATTTTTTTTTGCACGATTACAATACTTTCTCTATACTACGTATATACGAGAAAGTAAAAAAAGACTGCCGTCAACCTCTCCTTAAAGTCAACCGGAATGACCAGGGAGAGTAAAACAAGAAGTTAGAACAATTTTATTCCATGATAAAATACACAATAGTGATCTATGGTGTATAGCCTAGTATTGTATATGTATTAAATAATATAACATCCCCAATCACCACAACACACAGACTCTACTAATACATATTAAAAATAAAAGTGTTTGCTAAATTACTATTATATTACTAGTATTTATTTGTTGGACTATTTCTAGCCTTAATAAAACCGGAAGTGATTTTGTGCTTATTACACAAATAGGCCTATTCAATTTTTGTTGAAAAATATGCTTTCTGGCAACCAAAAGTGGGAACCATTTGGAACCAGCATTTCATGCCTAATATCATCACCTTAAAACTCTTTATCGTTGTTCAAAGGTCCTTAAAACGACGTCAATTGCAAGAAAAACAAAAATAAAGTAGGTAATTAATAAACAAAATAATAAAATATATGTATATATTTACAGTAGCAACTTAGTGGATTTCAATATTGTAAGTATAATTTTGCCACATACGTACAATTTACGTACAATTCAGTTCACTTGAAATTTGTAATACTTTATTTTATTGGTTTAAACAAACATTTCAAAGCCATTACATCCTTAAAAATTAATGTAAATTATTTTCATATTGCAAAAAAGTAATAAAAATATTCTGAGTTGAAATAATAACAGTAAAGATAATGGTGATAAAATAGATCTAGAATACTAAACGAACGATATATATATATATATATATATATATATATATATATATATATATATATATATATAATCAATTACTAAAAATATAATTTTTAATAATGAAAAAAATCTTTAAGAATAATTAAGCATACAAAACACTATAGTAAACGATAGTAAACATTGTAAAATGTAATTTAGTTTTTTCTAAAAATCACATTAATTTTAAGCAATAAAGTATATAACAACATTAATATTTCTTTTAATATACAACAAGTACATAATGACGAGAACACATAAACCAGAAATACATTTTTCTTCAATAATGGTTTAAGCATAAATTGATGCCATCGTATTTACAAGATACATATGTAAAAAAGTTGTTTTGTTATAATATAGTTTTAAAAATCATCGGCATTTAAAAATAGATGCTCTATTTCCATTGCAAGTGTATACACACACACACACACACACACACATATATATATATATATATATATATATATATATATATATATATATATATATATATATATATATATATATATTATACGCAAGACCATCTGTCTGCATAAAAGCACGAACAGCTAACTTACCATACAACCAGATAGAAACAACATACACACAATTTACACGTGTGTTGCGGACGGAACACACGTGTACGTTGTGTGTATGTTGTTTCTATCTGGGTGTATGGTAACACCTGACAAGGTTCATTTTCTATTGCAGCAAAAGTTTCAATGTTGTAATCTGTTATTTAGTATTACACAGACACCATTTTGTTTGTTTACATTGTGTAGAGTCAGACCAGAGGCGTAGCGAGGGGGGGGGGGCGAAGGGGGACATATATCCCCTGGCGCCGACCTTAGGGGGGGCGCCAAATTGAAAGTTTGAGGGGGGGGGGTGCAAAAGAAAAGTTCGAGGGGGGGTGTAAATCGAAAGTTTGAAGGGCGGGGGGTGCAAATGAAAGAAAAGTTCGATGGGGGGGGGGTGCAAATCGAAAGTTTATCCCCGGGCGCCGGGAAGGGTGGCTACGCCTCTGAGTCAGACACAACAAGTATATATTTTTTGTCGACGCTGAGTGATACAAAAATACGAGTCACTCCCTCTTTCTCTCTCTCTCTCTCATTCTCTATACAACGATAAATATGTTAGGTTTAAGTGTGTTGTTTTGGATTCTGTGTTGCTACACTATGGTAAAAACATAGAATAGGTGTATCTGTTTCCATAAAAGGGTACACCTGGTTTTTTTATGTGTGTGTCTGTGCTGAGACAGAAACACATACTTTCGTGTTTCTCTCTAAAGAAAGAAACACGAAAGTATGTGTTTCTGTCTATAGACACAATTTATTTACTGTGTGTCGGTGCTGAGACAGAAACATATACTTTCGTCTTTCTTTCTTTAGAGAGAAACACGAAAGTATGTGTTTCTGTCTATAGACACACTTTGTTTACTGTGTGTCGGTGCTGAGACAGAAACACATACTTTCGTCTTTCTCCCTTTAGAGAGAAACGCGAAAGTATGAGTTTCTGTCTATAGACACAATTTATTTACTGTGTGTCTGTGCTGAAACAGAAACACATACTTTCGTCTTTCTCCCTTTAGAGAGAAACACGAAAGTATGTGTTTCTGTCTATAGACACAATTTATTTACTGTGTGTCTGTGCTGAGACAGAAACACATACTTTCGTCTTTCTCCCTTTAGAGAGAAACACGAAAGTATGTGTTTCTGTCTATAGACACACATTGTTTACTGTGTGTCGGTGTATAGACAGAAACACATACTTTCGCCTTTCTCCCCTCAGGGAGAAACACGAAAGTATGTGTTTCTGTCTTTACACTGACACACCAGTAAATAAAGTGTGTCTATCTAAACAAAGACACACACACCAGCTTACTTAACAGACAGACCGACAAACACACAACCAATGTATGTATGTGTTTTTTACTGGGCAAACACATACATACATTGGTTGTGTGTTTGTCGGTCTGACTGTTAAGTAAGCTGTATGCTATGCGCTTGCTTATGATTTTTATAACTTGACTGCGATTATTGATTGATAACAATCTCTAGATGGTCTGCATGGTGTGCTGAATGATTGATGTCGTCAGCCTATATGGCTTAACCGTAAAATTTGCGAATGAATGAAATTCCTTTACAGTAAGTGTGAACTGTTTGTGAACGTTCTGTGATTTGTCTATTGAATTGTAACGATGTATCTCAAGTTAGTTTTATCTGATAGTGATGCATATATTTCATTGTGTCTGTTAGTAGTTTGTAGCTTTGTTTGCTGCTAGTGGTAAGTCTCTGGAATTATAATTTAAGTGTTAAACTGTTGTAGAGATTGCAGGATTGATGTTAAGAATTACGTGTTTAATGAGTCTGTTTGGGTTATAATGTGTTTCTTATGGTTTATATATGTTTGTATTGTGTCTGTTAAGCCTTGATTCAGCTTGTAATGTGTCTGTTATGTATTTAATTTGTCGATCTGGTAAAGTTACAAAGTTTTTTTTAGTGTGTATGATGTTTAGTATATTGTGAGTTTGTTAAGTTTTATCATGCTCTGTGATGCTTCTGTGATGTAAAAAGTTGATATGAAGTGTCCTTTAATTTATCTTGATGCGTGCAGTGTGTGTGTGCTGTTTAGTATTATGGTGTGTTTGTTAAGCCTTATCTTAGCCTGTCATGCATGTGTAATGTTTTCCTTTGATCTGTAGTGTGTTTTCAGTTCACATGTGACATGTGAATTGTTTAGCTAAAGGAAATTTTGTCAAGTCTATTGTCACCCAGTCATGTCTTTGTTAGGTTTTGGGTTGATTCTCAAAGCTGGTTAAGTTAGTATAGTGCTTGTAGTATGTCTAGCATGGTGCTTGTAGTATGTCTAGCATGGTGCTTGTAGTATGTCTAGCATGGTGCTTGTATTATGTCTAGCATGGTTCTTGTAGTATGTCTAGCATGGTGCTTGTAGTATGTCTAGCATGGTGCTTGTGGTATGTCTAGCATGGTGCTTGTAGTATGTCTAGCATGGTGCTTGTAGTATGTCTAGCATGGTGCTTGTAGTATGTCTAGCATGGTGCTTGTAGTATGTCTAGCATGGTGCTTGTAGTATGTCTAGCATGGTGCTTGTAGTATGTCTAGCATGGTGCTTGTAGTATGTCTAGCATGGTGCTTGTGGTATGTCTAGCATGGTGCTTGTGGTATGTCTAGCATGGTGCTTGTAGTATGTCTAGCATGGTGCTTGTAGTATGTCTAGCATGGTGCTTGTAGTATGTCTAGCATGGTGCTTGTAGTATGTCTAGCATGGTGCTTGTAGTATGTCTAGCATGGTGCTTGTGGTATGTCTAGCATGGTGCTTGTGGTATGTCTAGCATGGTGCTTGTGGTATGTCTAGCATGGTGCTTGTGGTATGTCTAGCATGGTGCTTGTGGTATGTCTAGCATGGTGCTTGTGGTATGTCTAGCATGGTGCTTGTGGTATGTCTAGCATGGTGCTTGTGATATGTCTAGCATGGTGCTTGTAGTATGTCTAGCATGGTGCTTGTAGTATGTCTGTTGTTAAGCTTAAGGAGTGTGTGTTATGTCTAAAGTCATATTGCATGTAGTCATTCTGTTGTTAAGCTTAAGGAGTGTGAGTTAAGTCTTAAGTTAACCCGTAACGTCTATGTCAGGTTAAAGTTTGATCCGTGTTGTCTTCAAAGTCACCAAGCACATCCACCGTCCCCTCAAACGAAATAGAATTTTTTTTTTATTCCAAGCATCTCTTCGAGGGGCTCTGCCCCCCAAACCCGAATAAAATCAACCGCCCCCCCCCCCCCCACCCGAATGGAATGGAATTTATATATAAAATATATACTTTTAAGTGTCCGCACCCAACCCCGAAAATTTCTAGTGCCCCCCCCCCCTCCTGGAGAAAAAAGTCTGGAAGAAACACTGATAATCAGTTTCCACCCTCTTCCTTTCAAAAAATATATTGCCACCCCCCCCCCCCCCCCTCCTCCGTAGAAAAATGTCTGAATGGTACACTTGTCTGAGACGATCCGTTATGTCTCTTAAAGTTAACTCGCTGCATGTATTGTGTTGTAGAACATCCTCAAAGTATTTAGCAGAGTGACAGAGTGTGTATGACACATAACATCAATTATATGACTGCACAGAATGAACGTGATCTTAATGAAAATGGGTGAACAAAATATCATTTTTTCGAACTTGGATAACTCTCTAAAGCTTGAAATTGAAAGACATTGTCTAGTCAGCCATTACACAAAAATAACTGCTTCCGCTCAAGGCAAGTAGAGTAATCATAGGCATGCATTATACACTTAGGCATACTTTTACATTTCTTTCACGAAAGCTCTGAGAAGAACTGTCGCCAATTAGAGTTGTATTTGTCTAGATGACAAATAGCTCGATAGAAAGGTATTAAATAGTCAGATTTAGCTTTTTTTAAAAATAGCGTCAATTATACTCCGTAAAGATGTTCAACTTTCGGTGAATTGTTTTTTTTTTTTTTTTGCCTTTTGAGTGTTTTACTCAAAATGAATTCGGTTAAGGTGCACGTACGTTGGAGATGAGATTTTGCGTGATGCATTGGTTAACGTGCACTACTTTTTCATTTCCAGGTCATTTCTGCGCTGGGATATTGGAATTGCCGAGCATCATCAACCCTGCAAAACTTGTTTGTTGTCGGAAGTAAACAAGCCCGTATCCGGAAATAACTATCCTTATGACGTCACCAGACTCCAAATGAAAAACACCACCTAGTTTAAACAAAAAAATAATAAAATATATAATACAAAATGTATTATTATTATCATTATTATTATATAAGTGTAGGCAGTCAAATTTGTCTGACCACAGTGATAAAATTGAAAAAGAAACAATCAAGTACTTTAATATCAAATTCCCTTTCTCCCAATCATTCCTCTAAGCTTATTCTGTGTTCGGTAATTCTTTGATTATTTATTTCCTTATTTATTTTTATGTAAAGCACACATGCATATAAGCAAATGTTGCAGTGTGAATTTGCTTACACATACACATGTAGTGGGTTAACATTCTAGTGCTCGAAGCGTCTAGACTGGCTATTTATAGCTGGGTCAGTACTTGAATGCACTTCACCATAATTTAAAGCTACATCACTAACTATACAGGTTTTAGATATTCTCGGTGTAGTTTTCTCACCTGTATAACTTGTTTCCTCATCCATAGTGCACGCATCACAGCAAGTGTGAGCAGTCTTTAGTAAGCAACCAGTTTGAGCCGGGTTGTTGGGGCTTATTTTTTCCACATAGTGACCCCAGGTCTGGAAAAAAAAGGTTTAAAGTTTTGTATACACACTACTTTTATACACATTTTAGGAATTTTTTAAAGAGTATAAATTCTACTCAAGTTTCACAGGTAAAACTATCCTAACTGATCTTTTCATGATTAGAAATAAATGGTGTATCGATTGTAGGACTTTGTCAGAATAACAGCAATACAACTCTACTGCACATTAATAGTAACATTCAATTTCAGTACACATGTTTCTGAGACCTCGGCACATGAAGGGATAGTGTGGTCAGCTCTATACCCAGCCTTAACGTCAGTAAGATACCCATCAGAAATAGGTTCTAAGACGTTCGATTTATTTGATTCTGGGACTCGAACTCTAGACTTTTGGGTTGGCAATCGTATGATTGAATACATACCTGGTACTTAAAGTTCTTGCAAGGATGAGCCGACTCCGGCCGGAAGTGGATACTGCTGTAGACGTAGTAGAGCCCCGGGTGGATGATTCGGATGCCATCTTTTAAGATCTCCACCCCCCTCTCGTGTTCCACCAGGGGGTCCGCAGTGACGTTCTCGTTTTTAAACAAGACCACCACGCTTCCGTTTCCGAACTGGGGGACTAAAAATAAAAATTCAAGTTTAAAATTTAAATAGACATTTGTAAAAAAAACACGTTTTGTTTTCAAACCTCGAAACGTGACCATTATAAAAACACACAATTATAGCTATTAATCAAATTATGTTTAAAATTAATAGTATGGACATAACATGAACGATTTTTATTGAATTTTAATCACGGACTAAATTTGCCATTCTTAAAGATATTTTTTTCATTCTTATGGAACATTGGTTTTCAAAGTTTTCAAATGTAAACATATCTTGTTTAAAGTAGCTTTAGAATGTTTGCTGACAATCTAAACATTTGTTTTTGGATTACCTCTTTCCTGGTATGGCATTTCTGGGTATGGATTTTTTGGAGGGAAAAGTCTTTTGTGTGTTGATGCAGGGCTGAAGGAGAAGTCTGATACATTGAAGGACTGTAATGGCGCTGAAATAGTTTGAAGAAAATGTTGATGATGGTATTTAGTTAATGCAAGACTGTTGGTGGATAGTTAGTGTTAGAAATAAGACAGAGGAATGAACTGATATTTCAAAGTAGTGGGCAAAGAATACTTGCTTTATTTTAACTGTATTAAAATGTTTTTTATTTTATTAAAAAAGGTATGTGTAATGTAATCAAAGTTGAAGTTTACCTTTGTTAACATCCTGTCTTCTCATGCTCTAAAAAATAAACAAAAAAAACAGTGTCAAATTCAGAATGTGTGAATTGTTATCTGCAGTGGATTTATTTAACCTTCCGTGTTAGATTTCTCAGTTAGTTTCGGTTTTCGTGTGTTCAAATGTGTTTGCTTGGTTAAATGTAAAGTTGAGATAAGAGGCTAAAAATAAGTGGATTATCGTCTTCGCCACCAGGCCCCCTACTTCCTTGACCCCACCTACGACCAAATTCCTTCCGTAAAGTAGACAACGAATTAAGTTGGGATTGCCATAGTGTAATATCTTCGCTTAATGCTGCACATTTGGTTGGAGACTATTTAAAAACACATTATCCGTGAGTACTTACCATTTCTAAGAGCGCGGACATCTGCTCACTGTCGTAGGCACAGCACAGATCACTCCCTCCGTGGGCATCGCGTACCCTGACCAGCATGTCAAAGAGGGGGTCACTAGCGGATGTGTCGTAGGTTGTCTTGATGAGTTTGTTACAAGACACACAGGCGATGGGCTTGTCTTTGTCGTTGGTCTGTTGATTGACACAATGGTGAGTTTGGTCATAGAAGTATAAAGTGTTCTACTGATGGTGGTTGAGTGGTAGGGCTCATGATTGCTATCTCGAAAGTATCGAGTTCGGTTCTGAGGGATTCACATTGTAGGAAAACAAAAAACTGTGAAATATGTGTGAACAAGTGATGTTATTTTTTCTTAGATGTTGTTGTTTGTGTGTGTAGTTTCGTTTCCACCTTGCCTACGACGTGAAATGTGACAGGCGTGTGACGTTTTGTTATGTTTTTCGCAACCCCTTCTCGCAGCACCCAAATGTGAAAAAGGTGTATAACCACCTCTCGGTAGGTAATCTTACACGACTTAGGAATTCCGCCTTTAGGGCCGTGGACACCTCATTATGCACTGACATATCCAAATCATACAAAAGATCACAATCTGAATGCAGGTTGGAGATTACAACATTTTATTTCTTGATAAGTCATCGCGGCTCCAAGAATAACACAAAAATTAACATAACTCCAATGTCGCAGGTCCACATAATATATCACTCTGTATCTAAAAATCTACTAACACTGTTCTCTGCGTTCAATCATTCTCAGTGACAGCTCCCTGTCACAATCAATCAGATTCGTCTATGTGCCACTATAGCTTAGGATCGGTTCTATATCGATAGAGAGATGGTGATGGTTTTTATTCTCTCAAATCCGTGCATCCTCGTTGGAACAGGAAGGTTTACCAGACCTGAGCAAAACTAATTGCACACCAATATTAAACTTGTTAACCCACACACAGTTCAATACGTTTATTATATTCTTTAGACCTCAATTTGGTCTACAAATTGTTAACAACAGTGAAACAATAAATATGCAACATGGCCCGTCATTTTACATTTGACAAAACATCACTGGAATTACCAATACCAGTCAAAAGATAAAAATCATCACTTACATTGCAATACAGAATTAATCACCTTGGTTACATAACATTAAAAAAACATATATAAGTGTCAATAGTAAACCGGCATTTACACAACTCAAATTTACAAAGGTAAATGTCATTTCCTCAGGTCCTACACTACTTGCTGTGCTTTGGTAATCTCAGAATCACACGTGTAAATGTTACTCTTCCTAATCCTAATTTTATTTCTTGCACTGTCACGTAATCTCAGAATCACCTGTGTAAAAGTTATTATTACTAGTCCCAATTTTATTTCTTGCACTGCTACGTAATCCCAAAATCACATCTGAAAATGCTAATATCCCTAGTTCTGATTCCACTGATCAAACACGGTTTAAATCCTTCTATGAGTACTCAGCGGTACTCAAAACAATATAATTCAACACAGGAATATTTCCAACCTAGGAAACATGACATCGGCCTCTGGTACAACATCTGGCCACACTTATAACATCCAGTTAGGCCACTTCAAATAACAATAATGGCCACAGGAGCAAAGCATATATCTACATGAACAAGAAGTTCGGCCGCTGGTGTAAACACCACGCCAAAGGAACACAACATCAGCTGGGCCAATAATCCAGCCTTCGCGGCCAGTCCTAAAGCTGCCATCATAAGGCCTAGCCTGGTATCTAGCCCCAGCTATGCGTGTAAGAGTCCTGACCAAATCCACCATTCATGTTATATAGGCCATCCAATCACAAATTCCCATCATTTCAAACCATCTGCTTGACCCTAACGGACACAGGTAGTGGCCTTACGCATATAGATTAAGGAGACGGCCATTGGCCGGAGAGGACATTAAATTGAAACACAAAAGCATGCTCTCACCTCTGTGTTCCCTGTGGTCTTCCTCTTCATCGTTTTTCAGGCGGAGTCCCTTTTAGTGCTGTGTTCGGGAGTCTTCTTCTGTTCATGCAAAGGACATGACCCAGCCATCTCCATCTCCTCATTCGTACTTCTGAAACATTATTGTTTAAGCCTGTACTTCGTCGTATTTCCTTGTTCGGGACTTTGTCATCCCACTTTATTCTGAGGATACGTTGAAAGGATCTTGAGGGATCTTCTTTCAAAGCCTCGGCTCTCTGCTTTCTTGTTTAGTTTCCATGACTCTGCAGCATAGTGGAGTACAGAACGTACATTAGACTTGTAAATCCTTTTTTTTGGTTCTCTGTTGCAGTGAGGATGATTTCAAGATCTTAGCAAGTCTGTTGAAAGCCTGTTCTGCCATTGCTATTTTGGTGGTTATTTCTCTTCCTTGACCCCCTCGAATACCATTCTAGATTTCAGTTCTTGAAGAGAAATCCTAGAAACTTAACTACCCGACCGAATTTGAACAATCACAACACTGTCCATAAATCACGTAAAGAATCGTCAAAGTTATCTTCAATACACAGTCCTCAGAGTGTCTCCGATGAATCTCTCTAAAACAAGAAATCATTCCCTGAAACAGTCACACAAATCAGTGTATTCGAATACTTTTTATTGACACTCATATTTAATGACTACACACGATACACATCTGTACACGAAGTTTAAAATATACAATGTGACGTCACTTCTCGTGCGGCCGTGGTTACGCGAAGCCTTTCGTCACACTACTCCATTTCTAGAGGTGTATTGAACCTCTGCCCTATGCACCATTACTTCATAGAACATCTAAAACACAATATATGACGTTTAATACCGGTCTTGTTGATATTCACCCTACTCGCAGCGCCAAATGTGACCACATGATGTGATTATTTCTTTGATATTGTTGTTTGGGTGTATAGTCGCGATCCCATCCTGACGACGACGCCTAATATGACAGACGTATGTCGTTCTTTGTTATGTCTTGTGCGATCCCTTCTCGCAGCACCAAATGCGACAGAAGTGTGTAACCACCTCTTTGTAGGAATTTGTCCACAACTTAAGAATTCCAATTATACGCCGTGAACACATCATTTGGCACTGACATATCCAACTCATATAAAGAAAAACACTCTGACTTCATGATAGAGATTACAACACTTTATTTCTTGATAATCACTGTTCCAATGTTAACTTAAAAATCAACAGACCTCCAATGTAAGAGGTCTACACACTGTATCACTCTGTATATCAAGTTCTAATAATACTGTTCAGTACGTGTATTATTAATCTCTGTGATTGCTCCCTATCACAATCAATCTTTAAACAATCGAGCCAACCACATGTTTATTCGATACCATTATGTCTCCGTCCTCAAAACAGTTCGTTTTCTGTCTCTCAGCTTTTCTGCCTCCAATAATGTCATTCTTCGTATTGGTTAGTCCATATGTCTACTGCGTTGGTTACCCTACAACTTGTTTACATTAAAGTGTCACTTATTATAGACAAGTCAAGTTAAGAAACAACCTCTTGTTTGCGTCACATTTACATGATAGCTCTGTTCTGCTGTGGCCTTTACGTTGTCCTTGATGACAGACACCTACTAGGCTATTATCAATTGTGGCGTTAGTAACTTTCCGCTATTTACACATAATAGCTTGATTCGGTTTTGGCAATGACCTTGTCCTTGTTGACAACCAGATACCTTGTTTTTGTTAGTACACTAGTTACATAAGATAATGAAATGATCTATTATTGTCGATTACCTCATGACGTAGTTTTATTATCGTGAGAATCTCACTGGATTGTAGCAATATAAATGTACACATATAGGCTACTACTGTTGTTATATTGTTTTTTTTCCCAATACCCAAATTAAGCAGTCTAAAAGTGAAATATGTTTATCTTGTTTTGGAAATGTGTTGTGGGTTTTGTTTTTATTGTTTGGGGCCCAAAACAAATCACTGGTCCTAGTAAATAAATTGTAAAGGTTATGGGTAAAGACTCTTGATAATCATAGCATTGAGTGAAGTCTTTTCTGAATGAGAATGGAAATCCTATGAGGTTATTTAAGGTTGGGTAGCTACAACAGAAACCTAAGAGTGAACATGTGTATATCAGGTTCGCAATGGGGAAAAGATATTTGGAAAACTTCAGTTGTCAATGTAGTGCAAAGAGCTGTAATGAATATGATGAATACATTGTAAATCAAATTATTCCATAACCGAAATTCAGCTCAGAATTTATTTCCTGGTCTTAATCACAACCACTCAAACATTCAAACATTAATCATGTGATACTTGACAACCGGAAAGAAGCATAGGCCTAGCATCCCATCACCAGAGTAAAAAGCAACTTTTAGTTCCAGCCTACTTTAAACTAATTGTTTCTCTATACTTGTGATTAAACTTTAGACCAACAAACATTTTTTTCGATATTTTGTCAGAAAGCTCTGTTCACTTCCTGTTTTGTTATCTCTTTAGCGCATTCATTTCCTTTTACTTGTAGTCTCTATCTCTTTAGAGCATTCATTTCCTTTTACTTGTAGTCTCTATCTCTTTAGAGCATTCATTTCCTTTTACTTGTAGTCTCTATCTCTTTAGCGCATTCATTTCCTTTTACTTGTAGTCTCTATCTCTTTAGAGCATTCATTTCCTTTATCCTTGTACTTGTAGTCCCTTGTAATTAATTTTCAGCCATCTGTCGCCGTATGGCTTTAGTTCGAACAATGCTGTGTTATTCTATTTTTATCGTTATTACAGAGGCGTATACAGTGCGGGACAAACGTCATTTTATCCCATCCAGCTTAACAATACCCATATTAGGAGGTCTTTTTTTACCATTTAATGGAGCGTTTTTCCCCCCACAAATAATTATAAATAGAAAGGCATCAAAGCCTATTGAGCAACAGTATTAAACGTAAAAACCTCAACTTTTATAAATATTAAAAAAGCATTTCGTTTGTTTTCCCTCTTTAATTAGCCTAAAAGGAACTTCTTTATTTTCGGTATTTTTTTGGTTATTCCCCTTTTGGAGTTACAGATTTAGCCAATTATAATACAGGATTTATTTAAAACAGCAACACCTTCTGGGTATTTTCACCGGATCAGGACATTTGGATTAGGCAAACCCTCAGTGAGACAAAGACGTATATAATAACGTGTAGGATTGCAGAAAGACGGGATATAATAACATGTAGGATTGCAGACAAAGACGGGATATAATAACATGTAGAATTGCAGACAAAGACGGGATATAATAACATGTAGGATTGCAGACAAAGACGGGATATAATAACATGTAGGATTGCAAACAAAGACGGGATATAATAACATGTAGGATTGCAGACAAAGACGGGATATAATAACATGTAGAATTGCAGACAAAGATGGGATATAATAACATGCTGGATTGCAGTCATGAAGTATCACTTTCAGATATACTAGTCATTGTAAATGAATCCTGATCCGGTTACGCCTATACCTGACATGTTCCTATTGTTAAAATCTGCAGCAAGTTTTGGTACCTTTAGAAAAAAAATATCTCACGCTGCCACACAAGTATATGCTTACCTCTGAGGTGCTGTGAGACGTGAATAACACGATTCCAATCACAAGTACAGCAGTACACAGCAATATAGCGAACAGTGCTAATGCTAGCACTAGTCTGTAGAGAAATAAATAAAATGGCATTATAAATTTCTTTCTTCTTCTTCGTTCTTAATTCTATTGTTGGAAGAGATTCCCTCCAACACAATTCAGTTTTACGTGTCAACTTGTTATGCGCCGTATAGGCCGTTGACTCCGATTTTCGACTGCTTTTCTTTTTGGATTTGCTTCAATAGCTTTGTCCAACCAAGAATAAAATACAAGGCAACAGTTGTTTGATTTTGGAGTTGTCTCTCCTAGAAGAGTTGCTGTCCCCAGCTATCGAGCCTCATCTACCCGAGGGTTCGAACTCAAGACTTGTCCACCATTCGTGCGATTATCTCCGCCAAGAAGTTAAACCACCTCCCTCCCGGCCAACAAAAGAAAATTTAAAAACAAATGTAACCTGTACTTTTAGTTTTTAACCCTAAACCTTGCCCCAGAGGCGGATAATGAGTTGTTTTATGGCGCGCGTTTAAATATTCAAATGTGTAGACATTAGAAATAGGTCAAGCTTGCGAGCGTGATTTAAATTTAAATTGGGGTTTTCAAAAAGTGGCGGAACTTAACTTTTTGCATTAGTGGCGGGGTTTATCTGGCGAGATCCGAAATAATTTATTTAATTTATTTTTTAAATAAATGTACGTCATTTTCGTCAAAAGTTATTGTGTGATGTGTGATGTGTGTATGTTGTCTGGCCAATATTCATACTATTAATATGTCTATCCTTTTTTGGCGAACATATTCGGTTCTCCATACCGATCATACTACGGCTGTAGGTTATCATTTTCGAAGTGTCTACTCGGAATAAGATTTTTCGGCAAAAGATAGTTCTGCGCATGCGCAGTGACCTATGGCTAGGGTTAGGGCTAGAATGAGGGTTAGGGGTAGGATTAGGGATAGGGTTAGGGATAGGATTAGGGATAGGATTAGGGATAGGATTAGGGCTAGGGTTAGGGTTAGGGATAGGATTAGGGATAGGGTTAAGGATAGGATTAGGGTTGGTATTAGGGTTCTGCGGTTGTAAACACACGCATGCGCAGTACCATCGAAAACATCGCCGCTAAGTCGTAGTTTCTCTCCATTGCGCATGCGTATCGCATGCGTATCTTATTCCGACTAGAATCGGCCTATAATCTTTACAGCCTTCACATTGATTACAACAGCCATGTTGCTTATATTACACGTTGCAGTTGCTGAGTTACACAAGTAGGCTGAGAACTATCGGTCAATTTACTGATAATACTGACTGGTTCAGCGCTCCAATAATCACTAAAACATTCGACTCCTTTTCTGGTGACGTCAATGGTTATTTTTAAAGTTTAATTGCTTACGCGATATTGATTTATGTTATTTGATAATTTTTTTTTAATGTAAAGTCAGAGGATTGTCTGTTAACACACCATTAAATAAAGTAGGTTTACATACAGACTATCTGGAGACAAAGACGATATTGTTCGTATTGTTTAAAATATCAAATCTATTTTTAAATTTTCGTAGCTATAGAGGGGATAAAGATGCCATGGTGGTGGTGGTGTGGGGGAGTCATGTTTCAATAAGTCATTGTCGCAAAAAAAAAATATTACAATGTTTTACCGCTAACACAAGAACTGGTTTAAAAATTAAGATGTACAAGCAGCAGTGGCGTAGGCAGGGGAGGGGTTAGGGGGGTCATAACCCCTCCCCCCCCCCCCCCATAGACCCTCGGTATATATATATAAAAAGTATGAAGGGGGGTGCTAATCGAAAGTTTGTCCCCGGGTAAAAATTGGAACACCCCCCTCCCCCCCTTGAGACGATCCTGGCTACGCCATTGACAAGCACAGGGGTTAACTTGACACAGAGGCTTTGCTGACCATCCCTGAGCCCAGGGCGAACTATGAATGTTACCCCCCCCCCCCCCCAACCCACACTCCACCGCCATACAAACTCATACGACGTGACAACGAATAGCTGCCATCTTCCTACGTCTAGTGCGATTTTATCAACAAGCCGTGTATGACCTACTTAACTTTTAGGCTAGCAGGCTGCTACAGCTGAACTATACCACTGGCTGCAACGGGGCGGTGCTGTCTAATCTCGATGTACTGTGCACGAACACGCAAGCGCCGGCAGAGAAGGGAAAAAACCCACGCTTTCGTATTTCTATTATTAACGTCCTGGTCGATGGTTGGCGGTCAAAGAAAGAAACAGCGGTACATGGCCTACATTGAAGCCTCGTTATAAAATTTACTGTAAATGTTTGGCCGGAATTTACCATTGCCAACAGCGAATCATTTAGCGAATAGCCTAAAGTCAACTCTCATTCCTACATTTACCTCAACAGATAACTATTACATATATATATATATATATATATATATATATATATATATATATATATATATATATATATATATATATATACAGAGACAAGTTACTCACCTCTGGTAACATTTAACTGGTGTCTCTCTAGAGTGAACAAATGAGACCGAATCTCCAGAACCTCTAGCACTGACAATATCATATGTTATATCCAATGGTGATGATTTCTTGTGTAACCACATATTGTTGGTTTAAAGCGTATTTGTATCAATTCACCCTGTACTGAAATTATAGTGTACTATATACTGAATGATACAAATACAGTTATTGGTAATTAATTTGTCTGTAAATTAAACGAAAAATAGGTTATTTAGCTGAAATAATTACTCGCAAACCTCTCCCACTAGACCCAACTAGCCCTCGATGTGAAACTGGCCTGGCTTATATAGGCAATATGTTCCACACCACTAATAGGCTGCTAAGTTTGTTCTTGTGATTAACAGGCCTACAATATTCCTACCACTATTTAATTAAAATAAAACATTTTCGAAGTCAATATTTTTGTATACATAGACCCTAATCAATAACTAATAGATCTAGTACTTTGATTTCCATATAATGTTCTTCCGTATTCTCAAATCATTCTTTATTGATTGCTTTCTTACCTGTTTAATAAATTGCGATTGAAATAGCTTTGCAGATATTTTCCATATTTCCAACGTGAACTCAGAACGTTTCATTTTCATTATCTTAGCTGGCTGCTACCGCACAGCGATTATAGCCCGCCAACACAGTACACACACAAACCACAGCCTGCTTGTCGTTGGCTGAGCAAAATAGGAAAAAAAAAGAGACGGCTGCGCATGTGTCTCGTCCCGTTTATTTATAGGCCTACGTTGCGAGCAATGTTTCTTCCTAGCATCTCTACGTTAAAAGTCAAATAATTTTGCTTCAGTGAACGGCAGAGTTTCTTCCAGGCATCTCTTCCCCGAACGAAATGAAATTTATATAATTTATATAGAAAACATATTTTTAACAGTGTCCGCCCCCCCCCCCCGAAGAAAGTCTACCGCCTCCCCGAAAATTTTAAGTGCCCCCCGCCCCGGAGAAAAAAGTCTGGAAGAAACACTGCTACATAGTAACATTGTGTACAATGACAACCTCCATTTAGGCCGCTAATAGAGCGTAGTATCTCACTTAGAGTGCTATCTGAATTAATTTTGTCTTTGTTAGGTTAGCGTAGAGTTGTCTCAAGTAGGGGGCGGGGGTGCGGAACGCCCCAGGGCACACAATTTAGGGGGTGACACCTAGACAAAAAAAATTGCAATATATATATATATATATATATATATATATATATATATATATATATATATATATATATAAATTGCCAGTCCTTTTTTTTCTGTTTGGTGGGGAGGGGAGGGGGGTGACACCATGAGGTGTCGCACCGGTTGATACCCGAACTACTGGGTTAGCGTTGAATGTTGGAAAAATGCAGGGTCTGGACGAGGATTAGGATTAGTGTTATGTACAAATCAGGGCGAGGGTTTAACAATAAAGTCATTATAAATTTACTTAGAAAAGAATTAATCTTTAAAAAGGTTACTGTTTCAACTGTATTTTTATAGTTACACAGGGAAAATCTAGAGAAATAACCTTTACAACACATGTGTGTGCAACAATCTGTTTTGGTATCGTTTTAACAGGCTGCTAAGCCTTACAATAGTATTGCTGTTCACCATGTTCGCCGTATAAACTACAAACGAGAGGATGAAGACGGTATACGACAAATTCCCGATAGACACTTGCCCGAATACTACTAATTCCCAGACAAGTGGCTTTCGGGCAATTGTCTATTCGGGAAAACTTCAGACTCCCGTTCAAGACAGGTCGTATATAAGATCTTAATGACAAAAGAAATAAAACAATTATAATAATGAGCTTTCAAATGCATTGTGTATTAATAAATATTTGTATACCTCTTCTTTAGCTACAGGCCCAATTAGGTGTGGATTTAAGATTTGATATAATTCTAAGCTATTTGAGATTAGCGGCCGTTAATCCAGATATTATATGAGAGTATCAAATATGACTTTCGGATACCTAGAAGCAGAGGCGTATCCAGGTTTTCGTTGTAGGGGGAGCGAAAGGAGCAAAAAAAGGCGCCGAATTTTTAACACACTCTATATACGTGTATTATATATATATATATATATATATATATATATATATATATATATATATATATATATATATATATATATATATATATATATATATATATTTATATATATATATATATGTATATATATATATATATATATAATTACTAGATGTATGTCATTACTTCGCTATGATGTAAAATAAGTAGCACTCTGAAGAAAAAAGAAAAAACACAATGTAGGCCGACAAAACAAAAATTGTATCAATAAAAAATATACACACACTAAAACCAAAAACAATGAACGTAACACAATCTGTTTTGTAGTTCTTGTAAAAAAAAAATTCTTACATAATAATTCCTGGGAAATTATTTAAGACAAGTGAAATAGGGGAAATAATCACTCTCTTAAAATAAATATTTATATATCTACAAATTTGATTATAAATGTCTAAACAAATAAATAATTACTTTAGAATATAATGAAATTGTTTAACACTATTTGTGTTTACAAAATGTTTTGTCTATAATCAAAATTTAATATATCGTCATCATAAATGCTAAAGTAATACAGCATAATGAAAGTTTTTAAAATCAGAGTTGGTATAAAAGCTCGAATTTCTATATAAATGAACCACATTCGGAATAACAGCCTACATATAACTAAATATAGGTCTATTAGTTCAGATCATATATTTTTAATTAACTACTGCTTCTTTGTGTTCTTTAAAGATCATTTTTAACATCGTAATAGATATGGGTTGGATCACTGTATTGATCACACACCTTCTTACTGGTAATTGCAAAAACAATATTCACAGAGTTTTACGTTTAAAAAGCTAATTTTCTGGCGGCATGGTACTTTGGTACATCATTACGCGTTTTTCTACAAGCACTTAACAGATCAGTTCGGGGTGGGTTGGGGGGGGGGGGGGGTTCAACTTCATTCACCACTGCCCGGTCACTTTAGGTCAATTATCCAACCCAGTATATACCTAGGTGTGACATTAATGTCGCTCTACACAATTGTGGTGGTGAGGTGGGGTTGAAACTATTTTATATAATTTGTAATCGTAATCACTATAGCCCAAACTGTAAGAATACTACTACTTCATCGTGATGAAGTTGTTGACCTTGTCAAAATTTCCCCACCACTACGCAATTTGCTCATAAGTAAATTTAAATAGAGGTGCAACATCTGTTGTATTTGTTTCTGTATTGTAATTTTTTTTAATTAATCACACGATTCAAACTTTATATATAAAGTAATTATGTGTGAAGTTTTATGTATAACATTTTCTAATTCCATTATTCGTAAGCAAATACATTATACAGTTGCCTTAAACTTAACACCCCTCTTGCCAAGTGGTACTACCCGTAGAGGTTTTTTTAAACATTGCAATGCATCGTATTGGTTATTTTTAGCATGGCAAACTGATGCAGCTGTTAATACGTGTTGTAAACGTAGACACCACTAGACTAGTACAATAATGCTTAATTGCTGAATGAAAAGAAATCTTGTGATTTACATAGATGTGCCGACCAAAAATATTTTTTTAACAAATATCATTGTTTAAAACTTTCCAAAAAGGCGCCACTTTGCTGAAAATGGCCAGAGGGGGAGCGGCCGCTCCCCCTGCTCCCCCCCCCCCCCTGCGTACGCTACTGCCTAGAAGGTTAAACTGAAATAAAACTGAGACCTATATTGATAGTGAAATAATCAAACTTTCAAATCAATGTTATTTATAACCAACTTAGAAACTCAACTCTGAGATAAAAAAATTAGTTCTTTCATGCCGTTGCCGGAGCTTAGGCACTGATGACATCATCAAATGATAAAACTTCGTAGTTTATCACTGTGATGACGCAATATAGGTCATAGATAAGTAAGAGGTAGCATAACGTAGATCCAGGTCCGGCGCTACCTATAAGGCGAACTAGGCGGTCGCCTAGGCAGCTTCCCATAGGGGGGACAAAAGGGGGGCGCAAAAATATGTAATCGCCATTATTAAAACGTACCTAATAATTAGTAACTTTGATTACATTATATAAACTATATTATCCAAAGGCGTAGCGATCTATTTCGGTGGCCATTACGAAATATCAATTTTGTGTCCCCTCCTCAAATTAGGCCTATATATAGTTATTCGCGTTGGTGAAAATGCCCTCCCCCAACCTCTCTCATTCTGAAAGGTCGGGACGCATTTTCAAGTGACGTTGCCTTTTTCTTTTGGTGTTACGCAATTGGTGTAGGAAACAATAAAATCTCTATTTCAGCCGTATATAGTATAATTAAGTGATTAGCTTTTTATAGTATTGTCTACTACATTTAGCGCCCCTTTGCGTCGGCACCTGTGGCTATATATATATATATATATATATATATATATATATATATATATATATATATATATATATATATATATATATATATATATATATATATATATATATATATATATATATATATATATATATATATATGTTTATATTTATATATGTTTATATATATATATATATATATATATATATATATATATATATATTATATATATATATATATATATATATATATATATATACAAGGGCTCGAAAAAAATAAAACAAAAACATGTTGGGGCGGGGGGCGTTGTAGTAAGTTTTCCCTAGGGCGCTAAATAACCTGGCGCCGGCACTGCGTAGATCATCCAGACATTGGTCAATAGAATTACAATGGAACCGATCATGTGAGATGGTCAGCTGACCACTGAAGCATTATTTGGGAGTTGGGAGATAGATAGTGTTAACAGTTGACCATTGGTTTCTATAGGGGAAAGTCGAGGATTAGTTAGCAGTAGCGAAGTTAGACAGTTATGTGTAGAAAGCAGTTGCAGTCAGAGTAGAGATCGAGTATTGTTAAGATATAGAAGAGTTAGCAAAAGTAGTATGAAGTGTAGCGGCGTAGCAGATTGATTTATGTGCAAATAAAGAAACTTCATATCTGTGAATTTGACATGCTGGTTATTGTAGATTTCGCACACTGTCATTATTTATCCTCTTACTTACTATAAGACTTAAATGATTCTGTTAAAAACCCGGCTGTTCGATTGTCTATTTGATGTTTTTAAAGTAAATTGTGTTAGTTTAGTCCGAGAAAATGTATATATTTCATAGTGCACGTCTTTATATTTATAGAGTTAAATCAAATTTGAATGAAAGAATCTAGTT